GTTTGTATAGAGCCTTGTTAGGGTTCTACAACCCCCCAAGGCGCTTCACAAAACACCATTCACACGTTGGTGGGGATGAGCAACCATGTAGCCACAGCTGCCCTGGGTTGCACTGACAGAGGCGAGGCTGCCGAGCACAGGCACCGCCTGTCCCTCTGACCACCACCAAGTTAAGCGTCTTGCTCAAGGACACAACAGCAGCATTCTGTGGTCGTAGCTGGGATCGAACTTGCAACCTTCTGATTACCGGACAGCCAGCTCTACCTCCTGAGCTGCTGAAGCCCCTAAATGGTTGTTTTATTTCTTTCACTCTAAATAATTGTGAAGTAGTAACCAGTGTGCATGATAGACCTGAAGGTGACACCGGTTTTTCTTCTTCCGGCTCTTGGAGTTCAGACGCTTTATTCCTCCTCTCCTCCCTATCTTATCCCAAGGCTCTTTGTCTGTCTTTGGGTGTACGGCGTTTCTGCATTTTTCTGGAAACTGGAAATTATTAAAATGGACCTGGTCAGCTGGTCTCTCAACGCGACTGACAAGATTTTTTCAACGATGAGAACGGGAGAAGGGGCTCCCGGTTGCCCCTCTGGGACAGAGCCAGTAGGACATATCATGGACTCCTGGAAACAGTGGAACCTGATCTGCCTCTCTCAGCTGTCTTAGAGGATTCTGAAGGCGTCTGGATATTCGTGGTGTTGGGGTCGGGATTCCTGCTGTTTGGTCTGAGTGGTTACCTGGCTAACCGGAAAATTTATGAGCTGTCGAGGACTATTGGCTCAATCCCGGAGCTCAGGGATGGATTACACCGTGCTGTGAACGCACAAACTCATATAATTGTCGAGATGAGTCGTAAGCTTGGAACTTTGGCTGAGATTCAGACTCTGGCACAGAAGGTTGATTCGATCAAGGATAGAGTTGACGGGACAGCACGGATTGAGATAGATTAATTACGCCATTATTGGATTCAGAGGGGTTGGAGACCAACAGAAATTTAGGACAGAGAGGAAATTATCTCTGTCTGACCCCAAAACAAGTTCTTATCTGAATCTGGTGCTCTTGGAGCCTGTAAGGCTGCAAAGAAAACTCCCCCTCACAAGGAATGTGGAATGCTGCCATCGCTATGGCAACTCTGTCTCCCTATCCCAGCCTGGGCGGGACTGCGGGCTGTGAAGGCCGCCGAATCACTCCAGGAGTCAATGTGCCCTCCAAACCTCAACAACCTCCCTCCCCTGTCCAGACTGAGGTGACACGCGCTGCTTATCGTGGCTGCACGCACTGACGTGTGGAGAGTCCCAACCCACCACCCCACCTAGTGGACACTTATGTTGTGTGATGTCTGAAGTCTGTTGCATTTCTGTCTGAGGTGTTTTTTTGCAGAGCAAAGCTGCCCTCCCTGTGGAGGGTAGCTCTGAAGTGCCTTTTTTTCCTCCACCTGAACCAATCCTCATATAAACCCTCTGATCTCTATTACGGTAGCGCGACTCGGGTTGTGAATGACCACAGTCACCAATTCTTGTCATGTGTCTATGTATGTATGTCTGATCTCAGAATTGTGTGTACTGAAACTCTAATTTCCCTCTGGGATTAATAAAGTATCTTTGAATTTGAATTTGAATAAAGGTGGACGAGTCAAGGTTAGAAACTAAACTCACCTGCTTGGCTGCAAACTCCTCGTCTCGACCGTCCCCGATGACCACGTACGTCACCTTTTTCCCAAAGCGAGAGACAATGCGCTCAAAGCAACTCTCCTTCCCTGCATGAGACAACAGCATCAGCTCAGGTCTCCCCCAACTGTGCAGGTAAGCCGCTAACCTACTGTACCTATTTTAGTGGCACTGTAGATGTTCTCCACAGGGAAGACGTCTCCCAGGCCGTACAGCAGAACTTTGGCCAGAGCTGGTACCAGCTGGGTGGTGGTGACCAACACGTTCACACACTTCCCTCTGTCTCACACACACGTTAAGACACAATTAATAAATAACTTCAGCTCAAAAGGAAAACTTGGAATGAAGCAAAATTCCGCCCACATGTAGAACCTGGACCAACCTGGACTGGATGAGCAGCAGAGACTTGAGCGCTGTGGTGAGCCAGGCATCGGTGATGTTCTCAATTTCTGAGCGAAGACGTGAAAGCAGATCTTTCTTCATGGGACTCAGAAGACCTAAAGGTCAACAAGCACTTTCTACTTAATCAGGAATGTCCAGATTATAATTTTATAGTGGTCGACCAGGAATCAGACAGTAGCCGTCGATCAGACAGAAGCCGTTGATCAGGGATCAGACAGAAGCCGTCGATCAGGGATCAGACAGTAGCCGTCGACCAGGGATCAGACAGTAGCCGTCGATCAGACAGAAGCCGTCGATCAGGGATCAGACAGAAGCCGTCGATCAGGGATCAGACAGTAGCCGTCGACCAGGGATCAGACAGTAGCCGTCGATCAGACAGTAGCCATCGATCAGGGATCAGACAGAAGCCGTCGATCAGGGATCAGACAGTAGCCGTCGATCAGACAGTAGCCATCGACCAGGGATCAGACAGTAGCCGTCGATCAGACAGTAGCCATCGATCAGGGATCAGACAGTAGCCGTCGATCAGACAGTAGCCGTCGATCAGGGATCAGACAGAAGCCGTCGATCAGGGATCAGACAGAAGCCGTCGATCAGACAGAAGCTGTCGACCAGGGATCAGACAGTAGCCGTCGATCAGGGATCAGACAGTAGCCGTCGATCAGGGATCAGACAGTAGCCGTCGATCAGGGATCAGACAGAAGCCGTCGATCAGGGATCAGACAGTAGCCGTCGATCAGACAGAAGCTGTCGACCAGGGATCAGACAGTAGCCGTCGATCAGACAGAAGCTGTCGACCAGGGATCAGACAGTAGCCGTCGGTCAGGGATCAGACAGAAGCCGTCGATCAGACAGAAGCTGTTGACCAGGGATCAGACAGTAGCCGTCGGTCAGGGATCAGACAGTAGCCGTCGATCAGACAGAAGCTGTCGACCAGGGATCAGACAGTAGCCGTCGGTCAGGGATCAGACAGTAGCCATCGATCAGGGATCAGACAGAAGCCGTCGATCAGACAGAAGCCGTCGGTCAGGGATCAGACAGTAGCCGTCGATCAGACAGAAGCCGTCGATCAGGGATCAGACAGTTGCCGTCGTTCAGACAGAAGCCGTCAGTCAGCGATCAGACAGAAGCCGTCGATCAGACAGGAGCCGTCGATCAGGGATCAGACAGTAGCCGTCGTTCAGACAGAAGCCGTCAGTCAGCGATCAGACAGAAGCCGTCGATCAGACAGAAGCCGTCGATCAGGGATCAGACAGTAGCCGTCGTTCAGACAGAAGCCGTCAGTCAGCGATCAGACAGAAGCCGTCGATCAGACAGAAGCCGTCGATCAGGGATCAGACAGTTGCCGTCGTTCAGACAGAAGCCGTCAGTCAGCGATCAGACAGAAGCCGTCGATCAGACAGAAGCCGTCGATCAGGGATCAGACAGTTGCCGTCGTTCAGACAGAAGCCGTCAGTCAGCGATCAGACAGAAGCCGTCGATCAGACAGAAGCCGTCGATCAGACAGAAGCCGTCGATCAGACAGTAGCCGTCGATCAGGGATCAGACAGTAGCCGTCGATCAGGGATCAGACAGTAGCCGTCTGTCAGATAGTAGCCGTCGATCAGACAGAAGCCGTCGATCAGGGATCAGACAGTAGCCGTCGATCAGACAGTAGCCGTCGGTCAGCGATCAGACAGAAGCCGTCGATCAGACAGAAGCCGTCGATCAGACAGAAGCCGTCGATCAGACAGTAGCCGTCGATCAGGGATCAGACAGTAGCCGTCGATCAGACAGAAGCCGTCGATCAGGGATCAGACAGTAGCCGTCTGTCAGATAGTAGCCGTCGATCAGACAGAAGCCGTCGATCAGGGATCAGATAGTAGCCGTCGATCAGACAGAAGCCGTCGATCAGGGATCAGACAGTAGCCGTCGATCAGACAGAAGCCGTCGATCAGACAGAAGCCGTCGATCAGACAGTAGCCGTCGATCAGGGATCAGACAGAAGCCGTCGATCAGACAGAAGCCGTCGATCAGACAGAAGCCGTCGATCAGACAGAAGCCGTCGATCAGACAGTAGCCGTCGATCAGGGATCAGACAGTAGCCGTCGATCAGACAGAAGCCGTCGATCAGGGATCAGACAGTAGCCGTCTGTCAGATAGTAGCCGTCGATCAGACAGAAGCCGTCGATCAGGGATCAGATAGTAGCCGTCGATCAGACAGAAGCCGTCGATCAGGGATCAGACAGTAGCCGTCGATCAGACAGAAGCCTTCGATCAGGGATCAGACAGTAGCCGTCGATCAGACAGTAGCCGTCTGTCAGATAGTAGCCGTCGATCAGACAGAAGCCGTCGATCAGGGATCAGACAGTAGCCGTCGATCAGACAGAAGCCGTCGATCAGGGATCAGACAGTAGCCGTCGGTCAGATAGTAGCCGTCGATCAGACAGAAGCCGTCGATCAGGGATCAGACAGTAGCCGTCGATCAGACAGAAGCCGTCGATCAGGGATCAGACAGTAGCCGTCGATCAGACAGAAGCCTTCGATCAGGGATCAGATAGTAGCCGTCGATCAGACAGAAGCCGTCGATCAGGGATCAGACAGTAGCCGTCGATCAGACAGAAGCCTTCGATCAGGGATCAGACAGTAGCCGTCGATCAGACAGTAGCCGTCTGTCAGATAGTAGCCGTCGATCAGACAGAAGCCGTCGATCAGGGATCAGACAGTAGCCGTCGATCAGACAGAAGCCGTCGATCAGGGATCAGACAGTAGCCGTCGGTCAGATAGTAGCCGTCGATCAGACAGAAGCCGTCGATCAGGGATCAGACAGTAGCCGTCGGTCAGACAGAAGCCCTCGGTCAGCGATCAGACAGTAGCCGTCGATCAGACAGAAGCCGTCGATCAGGGATCAGACAGTAGCCGTCGATCAGATAGTAGCCGTTGATCAGACAGTAGCCG